TTGTCCCTGGAGGAAACCTGCCGCACCTTGGCGAACGGCTGCTCCGGCCACGCTGGAACGGCATGTTAGCATGTGGGCCCGTAAAGCGGCCGGCTGTGCAACGGGCTGGTCCTGATGGCAGGATCTGGCTCGGAAAACGGCAGAGGAAAGCACAGCGAACCTTCCCCTCAGTTCACCTCAGGAACCAGCCGCACAGAGCACAAGGTGCAGTGCATGCTGGGACCGCAACTCTGAAGTGTGGTTTTTGGAGTGCTTTTATTTCGACGGAAGACAGAGCAATTCGCTCGGCGGTCGGCTGGTTGCCCCGCTGACTTTGGCCTTGGCCACCAGGTCCATCTTGGAAGTCCCTTTGCCCTCCATTTTCACGTCTCTCAGGTCCACTCATCCCCTCGTTCGTTTCTCCAGCCAGCTCTGCCCATTTGCATGCGCCTCATTTTCCCAGGTCTTCAGCCTTTGTTTTCCCCGCGCTTCTCTTCTGGCAACTCTCATTCTTGCCTCAGGAACCCGTTCACCAAAATAAACAGGGCTGTGAGAGGATTTTATGCTACACATAAAAGGTGGGAAGCCGGTGCCAAAGAGCCAAGCAACATCCATTGTCCGTTTTTTTGCAGAGAAAAAAAGAACCCACCCCTAGAACGAATATCTTCTTTTCAGCACTTAATATTGTTCCTGTGCACTTTTAAGGCTTTTAATTGTGACTGGTTTCCTTTTATTTTGTCGCTGCCTGAATTGTGCGGTTTTTAGTTGGATTTTGCCTCACTTGCTGAGCAGAAGAACAACTCTGTGCATTTCTGTGACCTTTACCCTAATTTCTCACAGGTGCACAAAATGTCCATCACCTGCTTTTCTTCTGGCACCTCAGAACTGAGGGAAATTCAGTTAAACGGAGTTGAGAGAGTGAAGTTCAGTCAGAGAAGGACATTAACATCTGTGAGGAAAGTAAGCTGAGAGTAGAGCAAAATTAGCAGATGCCTAGCTAGTGTCCATTTGCCCTTGAATTTACCTCAGCTAATTCACAAGTTCACACCATTGCTTTCGCCTCCTGTGAAAACTGAAGTAAAATCCACATTCACATCGGATTTCTTCAGCAGGTTGCTGTTTGTTTGCTGCAAGGTCTTTGCCCAACCTTGCAGCAAACGCCGAATTCCCCGGTATCTGTTCTCTGTCAAACTGGGTTTGCCTCCATTTCATTCCTCAATGGGGAAATCGCCCCTTGGTCTATTTCATATGCCCCAAATACCCCTGCAGCGTTTATTACATTTGCCTGACAGACTCCCAGGTTGCTGGAAAAGATATTTAGAGATGGTGTTCAAGTGAGGGGAATTTTGACACATCCGGACCCCTTAAGCTGCAGCTGTGGCAGCCCATGTTGCTTAAACATGCATGTAAAAGGCAAGGTGGGACAGGTTAATTTTAGCATTTAATGAGAGATGCACCTGAGGGGAACCAGGCTTTCCCCCGCATTATACTTCTATGCTTCGTTTTCTCAGACATTTGGCCTATTTTGGCTCTCTGTCACGCTGGAGCCAGGCTGAGCAGCGCAGGAATAACACATTTATTTTATTAGAACATTTCTATGCCGCCCCTTGCCGAAGCCTCGGGGCGGCTTACAACACAATAAAATACAAAAATAACAATATAAAATTAAAATTAACAATATAAAATAAATAAAACACATAAAAGATATAAAAGGGGGCATCCTTCAGCGGCTGGCCTCAGCGCAGCGGCCATGGCCTGGAGGGTGTTCCTCCACCGAGATGGACGCAGGCAGCTTGCCCCACAGCATCGGGCAGCTTGGTAAATGCCTGGCGAGGCGGACAGGTGTCGGTGCCGTGCCCTTCCCAGAATGAGGAGCCAGGAGGATGTCTGTCTGTCGCTCGATGGGAATCGGTCCCTGCACTTCCGTTGGCCCTCGAGCCCAAATGGAGGGACAAGAAGTCATGACGGGGGACAACCAATGAAGAAAACTGAGGGGAAATGAAGAGGGGGCTCAGCTCTAGGAAAAATATCTGGCCGCTGGCAAAGAAGTTCGCATTGTGGGACACAATGGCGGTTCAGGAGGAACTGGGGGGGAAAGAGAACCCATCACTTGTACATTTTAGCTCGGGGGAGATGGCTCACCCCCAAAAGAGCCTCAACCACAGACATTTCCGGAAGCGAGGCTCCCCACCGTCACAAACCTGTGTGTGATGCACAGAGACCTCAACGATGGAGGAAACTGAAACGGGGAGTCAAAGTTAGATTATCAAAACCACAGTAGTAGTAAGACACAACAGGTAGAAGCCAACCTAGCAATCCACGATTTCAAAGTTTTGTGCTGGCGCTAAGAGCAGCCTCTCAAATTTCCAGCTGTGCCCACAGGCCCAAAAAGCTAAAGATCCCTGACTTCATCTTTGAACCTTCTCAGTTGGGCAGTGCCTTTTTGCAGGGAGTTTGAATAGCCTTTTCTGAAATTCAGCAATATGGTGTATTCGACAGCAGAGGGCACTCCAGGCCTAGAAACTGGCAGAATATTGGCAGCTTGAACAGTCAGTTGCAAAATCAGATTTATTTTTATAACTATTACCACCATGAGGCTGATGCACAGCTGTCATAGCGAGACAGGAAGGAAATGGCATCACGGCGAAACAGCTGGCTGGCACATGCAGCAGAGCGGAGCACCATAATATCAGGGGTGCCTTTTGCAAGATGTTGTCACATCGAAAACCCTTTTTTGGAGACAGAAAAGCAGCGAGTGCTAAGAGCGTGGTTCCGGACTCGGCCTGCTCTGCTGGTTTTCTGTTTACAGGGAGTCTGTAAACATAGGAAAATGTCTGACAAGGTTCCTTCCAATCCGGGGCCCAGAATGAAGCAAACCATTGTACCCCTTCACTGCACCACGCCTGGAAAAGTAGCGTGAAATGAGAAGAAAATTAAATTTCAGCTGCTTGTCAAACAGCATTATCTTTTCCTTGGGTGACTGGAGTAGTTTGAGTGCTGACGGGCAGCCTAGAACTGCACCAGAAAATCCAGAACACCCAAGATGGGCAGTGATCTTAAATAAAAGATGATTTAGAGCAGAAGACTAAAGGTTTAGCAGCTTAGATTCTAACTTCACTCTCTGCGAAGCAGGACATGGATGAAGGATACTCTTCAGTGTTTACTCTCCGTGTTAACGGAGTTGTAGACTGAGCTCCTTTAGGCTCTGTTGCTTCTTGACGTTTCCCTTTGAGAAATACGGGAGCAACCCCTCGATGAACACATGCTTTGCCTTTGAGGAGTGACTTTGTTGCATGTGAATGCTAGTCCTTGCAAGGGCCAGCTGGAGATCTCCAGTGGAGATGCCTGGAGCCCCAGCTGTCCAGCGTAGCCGGTGTCACGTCCGTCTCCACGCAACACTCTTGAAAACCCATTCATGTCGGTCAGCTGCATCTCTGACCTGACCTTTGCTCATTCCACCAGAACCCACCCAGTTCTAGCTCCACTGGCAATTTTTAGGATTTGTAAGCTCCTGAAGGAGGTTCTGTCCTAATCCATTCCGTCTTCCTTTCATTTCCTTCCTTTCACAGAGAGCATCTGGCTATGGGGTGGCATACAAACGCAATCAATCAATCAATGTGGCACGCATATAGGGATTGCCTTACAAGATGAGAAAAATGTCTAGTAGGCCTGAATTAAAAGGTAGGCCTGAAGATGCTGTCTGAAGACACTTTCTTCTGAGAAGACTCTGTGGACAACTAACTGGGGAGCAGAGTAAACACAACATCAAGAATCAGGAGGTCAATTCTGCTTCCAACACAGACACTCAGACCGGTACAGGGTGCATTGCCAGTGCATTTGGTTCCTGTTGTCTCCTGAATCCACATCCTGGCATGCCACATCTCCTGAACCCCCATTTGTCCTCCTGGTCTTGAGTGTTAACGTGTTTTAATCCTTGTCCACCACCTGGAGAACTCTGGCTACTAGAGTGTATGGAAACGTAATGGAGACAAGCTCCTTTATTTTTGCTTCCCTTTTTACATTATCCAAAGTTGACCATTACACTCAGATTTGGGATACCTGATGCGGTGAACTCCATCGATCATCAGTGTGGTTAACTCCCTCATCACACCACATCAGTGATTAGCTCAAACAGTGTTTGACGATTCTGGTTTGCTCAGTGCCAAGTTATGTCTAGGCTGGGCTGTTATATCAGTCAACGTGGCTGAAGGTCTTTGACTCTGGTATAATGTGTCATCTCTATGTTTATCTATTGTTACTCTCAAGTCATGCAAGACGCAGATGCTTTTGTTGGAGTGGTTAAGTTTTGACAAGAAATAAATCACGGCTGCAGTTTCTGGTGGTTCAAAGATGGGGCGTTCTGGTGCTTTTCTATGCGGTTTTTATAGCTGCACACACAGGTATTTGAGACCGGAGAAGAGAGGACAGGACTGTGAGGATGTCCGTTTGTTCTGTTTTCTGTTGCAAACCCATGAGAGGGTGGCTGAAAAAAGAGACGTACCACTGACCAAGAAACCCTGCCAGTGTCATGAAGGCCAAACCAGACAAGAGGTAAACCCTTTTAGCATGGAGAGGCCAAAGCCATCTGGAACTGTCCTCAAATTCTTGGTGCAGCCACCTCAGGAAACTGCATCCGTCAAAAGCAGGGCACTCCAAATTCCCACCCCCAGCGATCTTTGTGTAATTGTGGATGGCAGGCCTCCGTGTGCTACAGATGGGATAGAGAGAATAGGTAAGGAACCCTGGGGAAGGAGGCGGGGAAGAGGCTGTACCTCTGCTAAACTCATGACTCCTACAGAGGAGACCCACCTCGGTGCTCCTCAGTTCGACACAGAGCTACCCACTGAAAATCCACTATGACTGTAAGATGCTGCTGTGAACTTCTCCTGGTAGGTCTTTGCTGATCGGATTTTTCAAGGTAAGCAAGTTTGAGAAAATGCACACAGGCCCCTACAGACGTCAAGCTCCACCGGCTACAAACTCAGCAACAACAAAAACAAACAAAAAGACACAAGAAAACGTGAGCATGATAAACTTTTATTAGCAAACAGTTCCTTACTACACAAGGGCTTCTTGTTTTGTTAAATTTGCTCTTCATAAATCCAGGTTACAGCGTCGGAAATGGTTGGTTTTGCATTTACTGGTATGTTCAGAATACTCTCTTCAGGCCACGAATGGTGGGAAGGGGATGGTACGAGGGAGGGAGGACAACTCGAGGCCTGCCAGATGTTTGGGTCCAACCCCCAGTAGCTCTTGCTAGCAACGCCAACGGGGAGGGATGATTGCAGGCCGAATATCTGGCGAGAGAGAAGCTGCTCTCCCAGGTACAGTGACTCACGAAAGGGCGAGTGGGGAGCAAACCACATCAGCCAACACAAGCAGGCAGTTGCAGCAAAAGCAGCAATGGATTCTCCTGACAAAAGGAGAGAGGATCCCGTGGAGATGAAGGAGAAAGCTGCCCCGAACAGCGCAGGCCTTTCAAGGCATGGAGCCACTGCAGGGCCGGGAGGCCACTGCTGCGTCCAGGAATACCAGCCATGCTGCGGTTCTTTTCCATGCACCTGGAACAGGACTCAGAAAACTGCCCGAAAAATGGCCGCAGCTCAGCGCCAAGTGCGAATTTCCTTCCACACATCAGGAAAACTGGCATCTTGTGACCTTGGTCTCCCTGAGATTTTTATTTCCTTTTCCTCCCAATCCAACCAGCCCTTTTCATTCTTAATGCCCCATCCCACCAAACTGCCCCTATTTTTACAGAAATCCAACTTGTGTGTTTCAACCCACAACCCATAAAGAAGTCAGACATGTGGCAATTCCACAGTGGGGCAAGCTCGAAGCAAACCAACAGGTTCCCCACTCTGGTGAAAACAAGTTTCCTCCAGACAGAAGATTTGCCTCACCCTGCCTGTCCCCATCCCTAAGGCCTTTTCCTGCAGGAATTTTCTCTGGACGGACCGAGCTCCTCAGCCAGGCCCAGTGGCAAGCACACTTTATAAAAACGAAACTGAGCACTAGCAACCACGAGAAGTGGTCCTCACCCACCGACAATTCGATCCGACAATGCTTAAACGTGCAAAATGATTTTTAAGAACATAAATACAAGACCTCTACAAAAACACAGAAAAACAAGGACACGGTAACTATATTTAAAACAAGTCTATAAAAAATAGTTTGAGAACAGCTCTTGCCTTCAAATAAATACAAAATAAATATGCTTTAAGCAGTAAAAACAAAACCATGGAATGTGTTGCTGGCCCCGAAGTCGGACGAGGACCCTGCTGGCCCCCCAAGAGGTCTGGGCAGGCAGACTCAAGTAGCCCCTGATACAGTCAGAGATACAGCAGCCCGACTGTCTTCCCTTCTCCCTATGAAAAGCACCTGGCACCAGAAGCAGAGACCAAGACGTTCCTCCCGTCCACTCACCCACAAAAGCTCCAGCCTTCCTGCCGTCGGCTTACCCTGTCCATCCCCTGCAGCAACGCCATTTCCCACCCTGAAGTCCCGGGCCACCACCCCACCCACCTTAAATGCTACCTCTCGAACATCCACCTATAAAGACTGAAAGCAGCAAGACCCCGTGTTCCAGGCGGAGGAGCCCGGCGAGACTGCGTTCAAAAGCACCATGCAAAAGGCTCACGGGGGCGCCAAGGTGGCTTCTGTCAGGTGCTGCGCCCTCCGCCCCCCATGCTGGACTCGCATCCAAGCGACGCCCAAAAGCAGCACGGCTCCGCAACCGGCTCCACAAAGCCACCCGAAGGGTGCCGGGTGGCACGGAGCCTCACCCCCCCAGCCCACCAATGGAGAGACAAGCCGCCCCGGCATGCAGAGAGACGTGCAGGCACGAGGGTACTGCTTCGGATCATAAGTGCAACTTGTTAGCGGTTTTAGAGGGACACACGCTTGCTCAGACCTAGAAAAATAAAAGGCAAAATTTTGGCTCTGCCCAGCTAGCCTTAAAGTAACATTCAGCCCTGGCAGGAAACCAGCTTTGCCCTCAAAGTCTCAGTTTCCGAAGTTACATTGCAGTGTCAAGGATTTTGCCGTGGAACATGAATTACTCCTACCCAAAAGGAATGAATGTAAACAGCAACAGAATATTTGGCCCAGCGGCCATGCCTCCTCCAAAGCAGGCCTTCTGGATGTTTCAGGCCGTGGGCAGGAGGAGTCTGGCGACGCAACAGAAAGGAGCTCTTCCAAGCAAGTCGAAGATGACGCCTGCTCCAGTTCCGCTCCGGCAGACTCAGAGCAGGGCGGTGCTGCTCACCCCCACGAGCCGGCCGGCTCCGCCAGCTTGCGGCGTCTCCCTCGGATTCCCGCGCAGGGAGGGCTGACTGAGGAGCACTAAACACGCGGCTCTCTCCGGAGCAGAGGCCCGAGGCCCTCCTGCTCCACAGCACGGGGACGCTGCCTGGGCTCTGCACAGCCTGGCCGAATCGGCTTCGTGTCAGTCAACGCATTCACAGAATGAAATGGCCAGCGCCCTGGGGTTGCGCTCCCAGGGCTGTGTTCGGAGTTCAGGGTGCCGGATGCCGGGTGGTCACCGCGACTGCACGCCCAGAGTCATCTTCAAGTTCTCGTAGACCACGTAGCTGATGCTCACGGCCGGGATCACCTTCATGAAGTTGGGGGCCAAGCCCCTGTAGAGGCCGAAGGCTCCCTCTGTCTTCAGGATGTGCTTGAAGAGGCCCCGCATGGTCACCTGGGGTGCTCCCTCGATGGAAGCTGGAGAAGAAAAGAAGCCGTTAAAGGTTCCGCTGTACTGCGGACTGAAGAACAGGCCTCTGCAGTATGTCTGCTTAACCCCTGCCAGAAAGACTTTCCCAAACTTCTGGCCTGTGGGCATGTGCTTTTAGGATTCCCATTTTCCTGGATCTCTTTCCTTTCACCATTCTCTCCACATTAAGGCAAGAGGTAATAATTAACAGGAGGGAGGGGAGGGCTTCTCGTGTATTTTGGAAAGCCCCCAGCGATGACTGCAAAAATGAGACCCCAAGATCTCTCCAGCTGTCTTACCTTGAGCTTGCATCCGTGTCCGAACCAGGGCAAGGGGGTAACTGGCCAGCTGCCCGCAAGTGCTGGAGATGGTGCCACAGGCCAGGAGAACGAACACGCCGGGGTCCGCACTGTTCACGGCATAGTGCTGCAGCCAGCTGTTTTTTAATGTCTAGGAGAAAAATCAGAAACGAACTAACGCCTTTGCGGAAGAAGGATGAGTACAGAGACCTAAAAACCCCCAGAGGTAATTTGACTCAGACGCCCAGATCTACCTGCCCTAGGTCATTCCTCCACGGACACCTTCTCACCTCACCAAAGGTAGCAGCCAAGCCTCTCACCTCGTAGACGGCCAGGTCAATCCCAGCATATGGAATGATTCCCAGCATGTTCGGGATGTAGCCTTTGTAGAAAGCGCCCATGCCTTCCTTGGCCAGGATGTTCTTGGCGCAGTTCAGCATTCCCGAGTACTGCCCCGTCTTCCTTAGGGCCATCCGTGTCTTCAGAACCTAACCCATCAGGAGAACAGAAGTGTCAGGAGGGCATGTCACAGACCAGAAAAAAGAAACGCTTCTCCTGAACCATGACCGAGAAAGTTGACTGCCAAGGAAAGTGGTAAAGCGCTAAAGTGCCACTATATGCTCTATCCATGGGGCTCTCTAGACAGTTTACATAATAAAAAACCAACAACATAAAACATAGCACTATTAAACGCAATTAAAACCACACTAGAAATAACAACAGATCATAGCAGGAACACCAAATAATAGTTTAACGGCAGATGGGAATTGTCTTCAATGTCATAATGAAGAACACTGACATTTGCATTAAAGTGGAATTAAAATCGAATTCCAACTAAAATCATCAGCAATGAAAATGCTCTTGGAGTAAAAACGTCGCAAGGACAGAAAGCTGGTGCGACCTGTCCTGGGTGGGGCTACACTCCCTCCGGAGGACAAAGTCTGAAGTCTGGGGCCGCTCCTAGCCCCCGAATGTCTCGAGTGGACGCAGTGGCTAGGGGCACCTTTGATCAGCTGCGGCCGATTCGCCCACAGCGGCAGAGCCAAGACATGCTCATCCACGGCACTTCCTGTCTGGACTACTGCAATGCGCTCTATGTGGGGCTGCCTTTGAAACCGGTCCAAAATCCTCAACTTGCCATGTCGCCATCGTGGGGGGACATGCGTCTAAATGAGTCTCCAGGGTATCCCCAAGGGGGGAGACAGGAAACTGTGTTTTAATCTATGGGATCCATTATTGTTTTAACTCATTTTTGCTGATGCCTTGCACGCCGCCTCGACTGTCCTTTTCTCGGCAGAAAGAGGGGTTTGAATCCAAGCAATGGAAGAACAAGGAGTGGGGACGGCAGCCGTGGGCCAGGCTGAGCCTCACCTCCATGGGGTAGATGCTGCTCTGGGCAATGGCTCCCGCCAGTGACCCGGCCACCAGCCTCTCATGGATCCTCAGCACCTCCTGGTCAGTGCCAATGAACCGCTTGATCTGTTGGGGGAGAGAATCGCAGCGTCAGATCCAGCGGCCCAGGCCGCCACGCTCCTCTTCCTCGCTTTGCCTCCCGGGGGGATTCACGCGCCGCCCCTCGCCCCGCAAAAGCACAGAGCCCCCCCCCGTCCCCCCCGTCTGGATGCTCTACCTGCTCGTAAGCCATGAACTTGATGGCAGACTCTGGAGCGATCTTCAAGACATTGATGCCGTTCCCTCGCCAGAGCGACCTCGGGCCGCCCTCCTTAATCATCTGCGTGAAACCCCCGACGATGCACATGTTGTTGCTGCGAGAAGCGTGAACCTGAAAGGAAGGCACCACAGATCGGATCGAGGCCCAATTCTCAGCCAGGCCGCGTCTCTGATCTGTTTACAGACCGCTCTTGTTTCTTTGATCTACACCCCGCCTTTCTACGAAGACCCATTCTCAAGCCGCCAAACAATAACAAAATGCAGAGTGAGAACAAACTCTCAGTGACAACCCAGAACAAACACGCCTAATAGAACAGTCAAAAGGACCGTCTCGTCTTCGAATGTCCCCCACAATTTCGCAGAAAAAGCGGGTCGTTTTCATCACGCTGCTTCTGGAATTGCAAATAATGGCATGAGAGCCGGGGGAAGGGGCGGAGAACGGACTTCGACAGGGTTGCAAGCACACATGACGCTGCCAGACCGGTACGGTCAGTCCTGACCGGTGCTCTGCAAAGTCCAAATTCCTCATTTCACAACCCGCTTCCTGACAGCAAGAGTGCTTCTCTGCCCTTTGAGCCCAGAAGAGAAAGAACTGCCAGCGAGTCACAGGTCACCTTCCGTCCAGCTGAGCTGCGGTCAACACAGACCAGACCAGCCCTGCCCTGCTGCTTCCTTCTGAGGGGCAGAGTGGCAAGCAATCCGCCCTGAGGTGCAGCGGGAGGGCCGGCCGAATTGCTAGCTGCTGCCGGGAGAGCGACGCTCCCCGCGTTCTTATCCCTCTCCCATTTCTGGAAGAAAAGCCCGGGTTCCCGAGAATCTGTTCCGCGAGAAAATCCTTGTCCAAAATGAGCAGCCAGGCTACCTGCATGACGACTTTCAGGCGGTCCAAGGGGGCGGTGCACGTCCGCGACACGGCTCCTGCACCTCCGCCTGCAACCAGGTGCCGCCACCACATCCCGGTCTGCCTCTCCTCCACCGTGAATTCATCCGGCACGGTCAGATTCTCTCCCACATCAAAGATCTGCAAGGGAGCAAAGTGAGGCACACATAGGATTCTTTCCCTGAGCGACACTCGGGAAGTGCAGTGGCTTCCTCAGAGGACTGCCCTTCATTCCCCACACTCTGGGAGGAACCATGTAAGCCGAAAAGTCTGAAAGCTCCGTCTTGCTTATAGACCAAGACATTATTGCTTTTGTTCTCCACTAGAGGAGGGAATTGTGGTGAATGAGGTGTGCCAGGAGGCATCGTCCTAGCTCCACTTGAAAGATTGTTTCGCCGCCAGCCCTGCAAGCCAGTGTCCACAAGAAACCGGAGAGGGACAAGGCTCCAGCGTTCTTTCGGAGTACAGGCTGGTCTGATCCAATTGCATTGCAATAAGTGCGAACTTTACCAAAGGTGGATTCTCACCAGCTGGCAGGTTGCAAACTAGCAGGAGCCAGTTCCTCGCGTACACTGAAATCCAGGAATGTAATCAGCCGGCTCTACCCGCCCTGCACCAGAGTTTCCAGGAGCCAGGACAGAACAGACATTAAAAGGGGTGTTGAAAGAACCAGGACGCGACCTGAGGGGTGCAGAGGCTGAGTCTCGATAAAGACTGCAGAGAGGCCGGGTTGACAGGCGAGGAAGGAGACCTTTGTCTCCCTTTATTCTATAGTGCAATAGAATAAAGCTGGTTTTGGCTCTGAGTCTCGTCTCAGGCTCTGTTTGGCTTCGGGTCTGGGGTCCACCTGGGGTTTGCCCCAGCTGCTGACTGGCTGAGTCCGGTAACACTCAAATTTGGCCTCGGTGTGCCGTGCCCTTCCTTACCGTCGAATGCTTCCAGTACAAAATAATCTCCGGAATGTTCTCCACCGGGTGCAAGAGGTGATAGTCACGCCACTCGTTCCAGTCTATGGTCATTGTCCCGTTTTTATCCATGCTGCAAGTATAAATTGGGAAAAGCAGAATGAACAGGGTGGTCGGAGGGGAGCGGCAGCATGTCAGTTCCCTAACCTCACCACCCACATTCAAGCGAGTCGCTCTGGGAAGGCCGAAGGAGGTGCAATCGCAGCCTTAGCACGGAAGGGCTGAGCCGCCGTCAGCCCAAGGACCGATTCCTTCGCAGAGACGATCTTGCAGGCAGCAGTGCAGGGGTGGGAAAGGGTGAAGACGAAAGGTGGGGAGAGGGCCAGGGGGGCAGAGTTGGCCCCCGGGCCTGAGCTTGTGTACCAAGTTTGCTCATCAGGCTGTGCACAGTTTGAGAGAACCCCTTCTGGACATCGGCGGCAACAAAAACACTCCCTCGAATCGAGGGAGAGCCAGATGGAAGTTCTACCTACTCGTTTTATGAGGGATAAGCTGCGCTCTTCTCTCAGAGGCCTTACTGGGCTGAAGAAGCCTTCTCCACCGCCTCTCCCCACCGCCTCCCTTTATTTCCAGCCCAGCCAAAAGAATGCTCCTTTGCCCCACACAGCAGGGACCAGTGCCTGGGCGGGGGCACACACCACACCCCCCGCGACTCCACTGCCCGTCCTCGCTCCCTTGCTGACAGTCTGGTCTGTGTGGCTCCCCCTGAAGCACACCTGCAGGGCGCGCGGATTCAGTCTTGGGGCAGGGCGAGGGGCACGTGCCCCTGTGGCAAGGCACAGAAGCGCTGGCCCCGTTGGGCGATGCTTACGAGTCTGAGCAGAAACCCACTGGCAAGCCGAGAGCTGCCTCTCGCCTCCCGTCTCCAACATGGGGAACCGAGGCTGCTACCAACGTGCAGGCTGAAAGGACGTGACCTGCGGCAGGGACCACGCCATAGGTCTGAAGTTTAACCTCGGTCCCCGATGGCGCTCCGGAAGACCGGACTTTTGGGAGTTACCCCTTCCCTTCATACATCCCTCTGCTGTGTGGTCTTAGGAGTGTTTTACGGATTTGCTGTGCAGCTTTTTATCACCTGCACTGAGATCGTAACATTTTCATGAGATCACCTCTGCACTACCTTTGGGCACACGGGCTGAACAACAGCACAGATTCCTGCCACACTGACATCGGCTTCTGGGTTTGTCCACCGCCACCAGAGAGCCCTAAAAATGTGCCAGATGCTGCCGACTTTGCTGGAACGGAGGCCCGCCGGCACGAGCGACACGGGGCCCCACAAGAACACGCACCACGGTTACTTACTAGGTGACAGGACCCCAGACGTGCCCAGTCCTTATTCTGACAGACAGACAGACAGGCAGGCAGGCAGAGGGGAGGATGCAAAGAGGGAGAAAAGGACAAGTAAGTGATTGTTAGAAGCCACTGCCATGTGCGCCCAGTGGAAAGCATTCTAGTGTTAAACCGCACACACAGCAAAGGAGAGCACGGGGCAGGGGGGGACAGACGCCCCCTGGGACTGCCGGCACTTTGAGACCTGCTCTGCGAAAGAGCACCGTGCGCGGCGATCACAGAAGGCTTGGCCTCTTCCTTAGCAGAGGGCCGGCAAGAGCCGCTCTGCTTGCCTGTTCCCCGCCCTGCCTCGCATGCAGGTAAACACCCCCAGTCTGCGACAGGGGACGGAAAGTTACCGCAACGACCCCCTCCTTACAAAACGGAGAAGCCGTTCCACAGAGACAACAGCAGCATCTCGTGAAGCAACCTCCTGTTTGCTTTGGGCGTCACATGCTCTTACACATTCTGGTTGAACGATTTCCTAGCTTCAAATGGCCCTTATATTTCCAGGAAAAGATGCAGTCAGGGTTCTAGCACGGCTAGCTACAGAGAAAAGCAGCAGAGCTGTCTCGCGGCAGTGTTTTTTCAAAAGCAGGAAAACAGCGAGAGTGCAAAGGACGAGGAACGCAGCGCTGCAAACACCGAAGCCAGCTGCGGCACTCACCTCTTGAGAATTTTCTCTGCCTGCTGTTCGGAGATCTTGACTCCCAAATCCCGAAGGGACTGCATGATCTCCTGCGCGTCGATGCAGCCTGCAAGATGGAGCGACAAGAGAGCTCAACACACAAAGCGCAACAGCCCGGGGGCCTGGAGAAGGAGCACGACCCCTCCGCCCCAGAAAAGAAGCAGCTCTGAGCTCACCGTCATTCTTTTTGTCTAGACTCTTGAAAACCAGCCTCAGTTTCTTTTCATGGTCTTGGAGATAGTGAACGAACTCCTCGAAGTCCAGCTGGCCATCCAGGTCCTTATCTCCAGCTTTTACGATTTTCTGTAGAAAAGGAGCAAAAATAACACCCGTTAGTCTCTATCCGTTGCTCCATAGTCATAACAGAGGTGGGTGGGAACTGTCAAGTCGGGTCAAACGCCAGGAGGAATTGGCGCGCCTTGCGCTCACAGAGACACTCGCTACTCCGAGGAACCCCCAGTCTTCGGACCCCAAGCGCAACCCACTCGCGTGTGACAAGCCCTTGACAGAAACCCACCAAGATGCCCACCAGTGGCCAGCAGGAGCACAGCTCGGTGTGGGCGCACAGCGCATCCCTGACACCTTTCACTGTCATTTCTGTAGCGCTCCGGGCAACCCAGGGCGTCCATCCCGATGCTGCCAGGCGACCCTGTGCGCTGGGATGCAGAACTGGGGGCGTGGCTTGGAAGGAAGGAGTTCTCAGCCCCGCGTTGGCTCGCAACAGGCCACTCTTCCAGAAAGCCATGCAAGATACGGAAGGGGCGTGGCTTGCTCCCAGAGCAGGAAAAGCAAGGAAGGTGGAACTCCACTGGCCACACAACACAAGCGCTGAATGGCCCAGCAAATGGTCTAGACCACATGCATGCGCCCTTCCCTTGAAGTTACAAAGGCTTCATCTCCACCTCCACCCAGATGATGCCCTCCAGATGCGCTGGATTAATTTACAGCACATCCTAGCCACTGGCCCAACTCTCGCATTGCCTTTTTCTACTTCCTTATGCAAGTTACCTTTTTTATTATTAATAAAGGGGACAGATGGGAAAAGCTAGCCGTACCCAGAGAAAGCTAACTGTTGTCAGAGCCGGCAAACTGCAAGATAATTTTAATGGGCAATTTTTAAAAGATAATGGCAGTTGCATTGCAAGCACGAACTGGTTTGGTCACTCTGAAGTTACATACTTGTGCAGGATCCTGGGGGAACCAGATTTTGGGAGCAGCATGTAGCTTTCCAGAAGAGATTAAGAGGTAGCAAGGTCAGGCTGCTAAAGGCAAGCCTACCCTTGAAACCTTTTCCGAGCAGGTGACACGGTGCCAATGTGACTTGGTCAACACCTGTTTCACTACCTGCTTTGCATAGACAGCAGGAAATGGGCTTGGCAGGTAATATGTTGGAAGCCACCCAGAAAAAAAGCAAGCTGGTTACTCATGGTGGCTAATCTGCATTCCCAGCTGATCACCCCAGCATTCAGAGGGATCAGCTATGGCTTCCCCAATCTGGTGGCCAGGTGAGCTAAAACACCGAGTCCCAACGCAGGGGAGGAATGCTGGAAATTAAAGTCCAACATGTCTACGGGCATCAGAGGCCGGGAGAGACTGCTAAATTAAAGGCAACTGCCAGTCACACAATCAAAACTTTACTTGCTAGGTGGGGAAGAGATGAACGACCGAGGGAAAGAAATGCATTAACATACTTCTAGAGTGAGATTTCAGGTCCTAGCCTTGTATTAAGTTCATCTGACATTTGACATCACCTATCAAACTTGAGTTATGAGAATCACACCCAAATTACTGGGAGGGCTCCTCTCTACTCCACCCCACAGCCCTCCATTTCCAACTGCTAAATTTAAGCCATCATATAATTTAATACCTTTCTAATCTAACCTTGGTAAGGACATTCAGTGACCATCTGCAATAACCTTTCATATATCTGATGTGCAGCCAATTTGCAGACAGTCATATGACGGTTGTAAAAATGTCGAGATGGAAGGATCACCGTTTGTGAGCTAAAGATAGAAAGAAACCTCTGGCACGCCGGCCAATAACTGCGAACTGGCCCATTCCGGATTTCTCAACAGCGAACAAGCCCTTGTAAGAGACGCTGAGATTTTGCAGTCCTTGTAACTTTGCCCTGGAGAACCGAAAATACACCTTTCTCCTCCATGGGCGCAGGGCAAAACTGGGTAAAATGTCTGTGCAAAGGAGCATTCCTAGCACAGCTGCCAAGTTATTTGCCCCCGCTGAACTCACACGGCTGTGGTGCAAGCCATTTCTAGCACTGCAGCTCTGGATTCCATCATGATCAGCGGTGACATGTTCCCCTGCCTATGCACAGGATTGGCATATTATCCTCCTTGTACAGTGAATCAAGGCAGCTGGAGCCCTGCCGCCTAGCTCAGGTTCCTCGCATGCCCGGGGATCTTAGGTGGCTTCCTTTTATTCTGTAGATTGAAGGGGGGGGCAGGGCAGGGGTGGAGGCAGAAAGGGATGCGCTGGAGTTCTCTGGCAGCGGTTCCACGAGGGTTCCCGGTGTCCAGCTGCTTGACAACTGCAGGAACGAAAATGGTCCCCTCCAGCAACCTCTGCACAGGAGACTGCTGGGAAGAAAACCTGCTGTGGGGGCAGGAGGAGAGGTAGCTCGGATACGATCGTGACAAAAACCCTTGGTCTGAGTCACGGAAGCCTTCTTTCTGCAATGGCAGCCTTGCCCAGCCCAGAGGACTTGAACTACAGCTGCCAGAATCCCTGGCCATTAGCCATCAGGCTGGTGTGAGTTGAAGCCCAAAACATCTGTAGGGGACCCTCTTAGGGAAAGCTGTAGTGGGTGCATGTTTGCCCTCAGCTCCTGATTCCGTCTGGGGGACCCAGGTGTGGGGTAAAATGACAAAGTCGACCCAGGAAGATGCCAGGGTCTCCCTCGGTGTTGCCTCGTAGCTGAGCTCCAATGCACAGCTCTACAAATACGGGCAGTCTCGAGTCCAGCCTAGGTCGGACCGCACAGAAGCCGGCAACCTGTGCCCTCGGTAAGAGGGGCATTCTGACCCACGGCGAGTATGGCGAGCGGGACACAAGGTGCCGCAAGCGCAGCGCGAAGGGCTGGGCATCGCGACCCAGGAAGGCCAGTGCCGGAACACCCAGTGCTCCCCTTTCACACAGCTGCTGAAGCGGCGCTTCAGGCCACCGTTCCTCACTTGCGAATTAATGAGTAACAGACGTGTGGCGAAAGAGCTGACGCGCACGGCTGAGCCGGCAGCTTCTCTCCGGTACTGGCCGCCCCGCGGTTGAGCCCTGGGAAGTCTTAACGACGTACAAGCACTGCTGGGGCCGAGGCAGAGTTTCGAGCCAACTGAAGCAGCTCGCGGAAGTCCATTAACTCCTTTATGCAGGTGATTTTACGCTGGTCTACCAGAAACATGTGCCCCTTACGGTGCAGCTTATGCACGTTCAGACGGAAGAAAGTTCTACAGCTCTCGGCACGCTCGGTCCTGTGGGGCTTTCTCCCATCTGCACATGCACAGAGAATGGAGGCCGTGAAGATACAGGCCGCTCAGAACTCACAGGCTGCCAGAACACACGCCGCCCGTTCTCAGCACCACCTCTGCTGCAGCCCGGAGGAGAAAGGTAGGGGCTGAGCATCAGAGCAGCTGCACTGCATTCAGGCGGTCCTGAGTTCAGTTCTCAGCCTCACCACTAGGCTAGAGCTGGGAGAGAGATCCGCGCCTGGAAGCCCGCCCAGCGCAGATGCTGGATCTGGTGTGGACGCCCCCCCGGGGAAAGCGAGCACAACGGCGACAGATGCTCTGCTCATGTGTTAAGCCAGAGCCGCGGACATGCAGGGCCACCTGATCAGCCCATGAGCTGCTCCACCAGCTGCTTCGCCACTCCACTCGTTCCGTCCCAGGAACGGAGCTCAAACCAGGGACCTTGCAGCCCTCTGGGGCTGCTGGGTTGTGCTGGGCCAGGCCTGCTTTCAGCAACCTGGGACCTCCTGAACTTTACCGAATTCGTGACCATCACACCACCTGTTTCCACGCCAGCCCATGTTTGCAAGGGAGGAGAGGAACCTGGGAGATGAGCAAGCGTTCCCGTGCCGTTCACTGATGCTGCCCCTGCATGTGCCACCGCAACCAACCCAGCATCTCTGTCTCCCCGCTCTCTTTTTATTTGCTTGTAGCTGTGAGCACGGACAGTTCCGGGAGTTAGCAAGACGGAGAGCCTGGCTCACTGTGCAGGCCCAAGATGTTGTGAAAGGATGTTAGGAAATTCCACCCGAATTGCTCATCCCGGAACACGTGAAACTGTTGGGGAAAGGGAGGGTCCCCTCCACCGCTGAGCTAACAATGCACGCCCAAGCGAGACCGGGACCGGCATGAGCCGACGGGATGCCAAGCAGGCCTGCCAAAAAGAGATCCTTGCTTGGAGCAGAGGACAGCGCTGAAGGCAGCCGCTGGGCCATGCAGGCCTGCTGCGTGGTCCCAGGCAGCCAGGACATCACAATTACTCTCTGGGAAAAAGGGTAATTTTTTTTCAGAGCAAAACCAGGCACCAGACTCCTGCGGAGCTGCTATTCAAGTGAATGGCAGCTCATAAATTAGCAGGAGCCATCCCGAGACCAGAGAAGCGGCGTGCTGCCAGGGCTAAATGTGCCTGGCTCAGAGCGAGGCGTCCCGGGCTCAAATCCCCACTCAAGTATGTGAAGTTTTTTCGGGTAAATTTGAACCGATCACTGTGTGTCAACCCAGCAAGAATGTTGTGAAGATACAATTGGGGGTGAGGGGGCGAATAAGACCATTATTCCAACCTTCCCCAAGCTTGGGTCCTCCAGAAGTGCAGGACTACAATACCAGCCAATGGCCATGCTGGCTGGGGATGATAGGGCTTGTAGCCCCAACACATCTGAAGGACCTAGCCATGAACCGGGGATTCTATGGGAAGGCTGATCCTTGGGGAAAGGGGAAGGGGGCAAGGGAATACAAAACGCAAGAGCGAGTTCGGCTGACTTGCCTCGCCCACCCTCCACCGGACGCAGCCTTGTTCGTACCTGTTTCCACTGCCGGTAGGTGGAGAACTCCTGGGACGGAATGAACAGGCTGAGCCTGAAGATGGACTTGAGCTCAGCAGGAAGTCCCTTCGACTCGAAATACTCAAACTCTGCCTGGGACTCCCCGAACGTCGGCACGTAGAGGCACAGGCAAAGCATCTTCCCGCGCCGCTCCGCTGCTCGTGGAATGCACCTCACTCGCGGGTGGAAGGGAAATGCCGGCCAGTCTCATGACACATGCCTATGAGCGGCCCTGCCCTGCGCC